CCGAAGCTCCTTTTTTTTTTTTTTTTTTTTTTTTCTTTTTTAAAGGAAATAAACCAACCTAATAATGATTTGAATTCCTCTCTCTCCTTTCAAACCCTGCCTAAATCTACTACTACTGGGTCAGGCTGCAAGTCGCTCCTTTCAATGACAGAATGTTTTTGTTAGAGCCTGAAGTATTCTGTGTATGTTTCTCATTCGCATTCTCTTTCAGACTAGAAAAAATGGATAATCCTCTACTGCCAACAGAACACCAATTTAAGCAGAACGAGAGTTATCGTACTAAATACATGACATAACTTTGACTTCTGTACTTAAACATGTAGTTAATTTACAGAGATAAACTATAGTGTAGGGCTGGTAGTAGCCTGGTGGTTGAGGTGCTGCACTCCCACATGGCTGAACAGTTTAAGTCCTAGGACTGGAGGTTTGCTTTCTCACTTTCTCTCTCTCCCTCTCATCAAATTAAAAAAAATAAATAAATAAAACTAAAATAATTCTTTAAAACAAAATGTTTTTTACAAAAGGAAACTATAGGGTTTACAGAGGAAACTACTGGAGAGTTAAGAAATGAATATACCAAAAAGTACACAATGCAAATTGCATTTAAAAAAAAAATTATTTACTCATTCATTTATTTTTAATTTTACCAGAGGGGGAGAGAGAGAGAGAGAGAGAGTGAGAAAGCAAGCCACCAGCCAGGTCCAGGACTCGAACCTGTTCAGCGATGGGGGGGGCGCCCAGCGCCTTAACCACCACGTCAACTGCTGGTCCCCGCAAATTGCATTTTTAAGGAAAACATAAATGATATGTTTTTAGAATAAATGTTGTGTACATTTTTATATGCAATCCTTGAAGATCCACAAAGGCGAAATCACGGACACTGAATATACTGCTAGCAGATCTTTGTATTTTCTAATGCTTCACCTTTTATTGTCCTGTAAGATCTTCCTCTCTTTACTCCATTTTCACAGTAATAAATGCCCCAGTAACTGGTAAGTCAATCCTAACTGGAAGGTCACATTCAGTAAAGCTTTTCTTTTCTTTTCTTTTCTTTTCTTTTTTTCTTTCTTTCTTTTTTTTTTTTTTTTTTTTTTTTGAGAGGTTTTTGCTATAGGGCGCATGCGCTTACCAGACAGACAGAGAGAGACAGAGAGACAGAAAATGAGAAATCACCCCCCGGGGGGATGGCCATGCCGCAATCCCTTCTCCTCCATTCTCCTCTTGGGATCTTGGGCATGCATGCACACACGTGCCCAGCGTGAGTTTAAACCACTGGGTCTGGGACAAGAAACACCGTCGCCTACATGGGAGTCCAGCGACTTAGCCATTACGCTAACTGCTGGTCCCATCAGTAAAGCTTTTCTGAGCACCACCTGGAGTCATTCCAGGCCTATCAAGGAAGCAAGGTCCTGCCTGTGCAGACCAGAACTTGGTAGGGCTGCGTTCCAGGCATGGCTACCCCAAAGTCGCGGTGACCTAGAGAGTAGTACACAAGGACACCAAACAAGCACAGGGGCTCACAGCCCAAACTAAAACAAAACTGTAAAGCGTTTGGTACGTGAGAAATGTGACAGTCTCCCGGAGCAGCTCAATCAGTTGCCTGATGGGTTGGCTGAGGCATCTCTGGCTTCAGAACCCCGGGGGCTCTTGTTCAGTACAATTTCCGTTTTCTCTTGAGATGTTGTCCCTTGAACCTTACTCTGAGCCTTGACACTTACTAAACTTGAGCACTGGTTAAACACAACAAACCCAGAAAATCTGAAGTTGCATTATTTCTTTCTTAAAATTTTTATTGTATGTCCTGAGGTGGAGATAAAGCTGGTAACGTTTTCTCTATTTAAATATTATTATTGATAAAACAGCACATGTGGCCTCTTTATACAAAAATTGACAAAAAAAAAAATTTTAGGGGCCAGCAGGTGGCATGGTGGTTGGGGGTGCTGGACTCCCACATGGCAGACTGCAGTTTGAGTCCTGGATCTTTCTCACTTTCTCACTTTCCCTCTCTCTTTTCCTCTCATTCTGTCCCTCTCTGATCAAATTAAAACAAATAAATAAATAAATAAAAAGTTAAATAACATAATTCTTAAAACAATGTTGTGATCTGAGCTATTCTAAAATATATATTAACAATTATGGCAAAAACTTTTTAAAAGAATTAGAATGAATCTTTCATAGAGTATGGTCATTCTGTTTTTTTTTTTTTTTTAAGGAAAATGGCATATTGTGGGAAAAGAAGGTATAAGCCGCAAAAAATATATGCACGGTTATTTAGCAGAGCCCTAAATCCTGAGAGGAGAGTGGAGGAGAAGGGATTGTGGCATGGCCACCCATCCTGGGGGATGATGGAGTAAGTTATCCTTACTATAAGCAAAATGTTATCCATTTGGAAAGAATATATTAATTTTATAATTAGGTTTAGCATACATGAACATGTTTTGTGTATGTGTGTATATGTGTATCCATATATGTTTCTCTTTTTTTAAAGAATTGTTTTTATTCAACTTTATTATTATTATTTTTTAAAATCTGACCAGAGAAAGACAGAGCAAGAGGGAAAGTGAGAAAGCAAGTCACCAGATCCAGGACTTGAACTATGGTTGGCCATGTGGGAGTTCAACACCTTTTACCACCATGCCACCTGCCATCCTTGTTTTTCAAACAGGTTATAGAAACTAGATTTTCAGTAGTCATTGCATGGACTTCATTAAAAGAAGGCAGATCATTTTAACAATTTAACTTAAATTTTTTTAATTTAGAAGAACCTTTAGTGTACATTTTCCTGTTTATTTAAGATGGCACTGCTTCTACATGTTCAATTTTTAAACTTCTTATGTTTTTTAGATGACAGCTAACAGCTAAAAATTTATTTTACATGGATCCTGCTATAGACTTATGACATAACACTTTTCAAATGCTCATTCATTCTTTTATGAATGTCCTGCTTTAAAGTAAGTAGAATAAATTTTGTTTTTGCATACAGTGAGGGAATCATCTTTTCTTTTAGAAGTGAAATAGTCAAGCATTTGCGGTATGCTTTTGTTTTCTGAAAAAGAATACCAAAGGTCTATTTTTGGAAAACTTACTCCCCATTACAACTAAAGCCAATGGGTTCTATTTATTACATACATGCATACAGATATATATATGTGTGTGTGTGTGTGTGTGTGTGTGTGTGTGTATACATATTTATGTCAAGCATCTGGCTCCGGGTGTGTCATCATTCATGGGTGGAAGAAGAATATGTGATGACCATATGTGATCATCAAACCTCAGCCCTCTGGCACTGGTATATCACTTTTATACTTGGCAAAACCTTGTCTGACAACATTCCCAAACAGCTTGCAGCAGTTAATCAACTCTAGTCAGCTATTCCAGCTGATCCTTTCTGCAGATGGAGGACGGTAGGCTAGCCTTCCCAGCTCTGTTACAGAGCTCCCTGAGCTCCCCAGTCTCCGAAGTGCATTTATCTGCCAGTGGGTTCCTGGAGAAGGCATCTGCAATTATAAACATTTTCCCAGGAACATATGCTGCGTGCAGCTTAAACCCTATCAGGCATAACAGAAATCTCTTGCACCTTCAGGGAATTAACACAGAGATTTGATTTTGATAAAAGAGATAGACTTTATAGTTTGAAAGAATGCCAAAGAAGCTGAAAATTGCCGCAGACATGCTGACATCTCAATATTTGTGTATTTATCATCTTTTGTAGGATAAAACACTGGGACTGCATTACTATACCTATCTCAATAGTGATTATGTGTGTGTCATAGAATTCAGATGATCATATTTGTCGTTTGAGTTATTATGAAGGTCCCACCACTGCTTACCTTACAGTGACTACGACAGTGACTCCCACTAAGAGCAATATAAACTTGCCAGCAAATTGCCTGGTGATGTGTAGTATCAGAAGGCAATACTTTTAACTTGGTGACTTGTTTTCCCTTCCTTCTTTTTGAGAGCTAGATGAAGATGTTGAACTCTCAGCTGATCGCAGAAGTCTGTCCCAGCTACTTTGAGTTTTAACAACCTTTCTCTCCTCTATAGACCTGCACAAATTAAAATTGTGTGTTTATCTGGCTTTCGTACACAGCCCTGCAATGGTCTCAACGTTTTTGTGTCTTGCATCTTAGGTTGCCGAACGTTTGGGTGTAGATAATGCGGTTTTATGCTATTTATATGCCTCGAGGATAGCAAGAACTCAATAAATATTCTTTAACTAAATAGCTCTAGGTGACGAGACATATTAGGTAATCACTCGCGGGTAAATTTGCCAACACCTGGAGCAATGAACAGAAGGTGGGTAAATGTGCTAAATAACCCGACCCAAAATATTTAGTCTCTTCACTCTGTGAAATAAATAAGGAAAATAAAAGCAGTAATAAAAGAAAATGCATTGCTTTTTACAAAACAGAAATTAAAGCAATATTTTATGATTCACGACGTTTTTCTCACTTCAGTCAAGTCTGGGTTGAAACCTTTCCACCTTGGTTGAATGGCTAGAATCCCAAGTTTGGATTAAGGTCAAGGGGAAACCATCTGTAGAAATAGAAAGATAGAAACACCTGGCTTAAATATTCTAGACCTGGAGGGAGACTGACTGTTGGCAGAAAGCTGCTTGGTGGAGGGACACCTGACTGCCATGCCTGGGTCCTCAAGCTGGAAGCAGGGGCTGGAAGGCTCTGGCGTGGGTCTGTAGCACCAGGGAGAAAACCAGGCAGAACTCTATGTCTTTGGTTCTGTGTATCTGCAAAAGAATGAAAATCCCAATAAATACTTAAATTTAGGCCAATTTCAACCTAGTCCTCTTTAAAATATTTGTTACTTTAAAAAATTAGTTATTTCTTCCATGAGCACCCCAACAGTATCTCCACACCGCAGGCCGCCTCTAGCCTCCGTCGGCCCCAGACCCTTGGCTCCCATATGCCCTAGGATACACAGAAGAGTCGCTTCCCATCTGGGTAGCCTCAGAGACAGTCGGTTTAACCATGGTGGCACTATGTGGCCCCATTCGGTCCTCATTAATTCAAACATTCACTCCTGTTGCCTCTCATTGTAATGCTCTTTCCTTCATTTGTCACTATTCATTGCACTGACTCCTAAGAGAAAAAGAAACGTGGCAGGCTGGTGATGGCACTTGTAAGAAAAAAGAGAAATGAAGTGGCCAAAAATAATGTGATGGAATAAATACTTCAGGCTAGTAAGATCTGGTCAAAGGCATGAAGAGTCACAAACCATAAACACAAAATTAAATGGTAAGAGGCACTGGAAACTACTCAGGAAAGGGTAACCGTAAATGTAGGGTCCTAATCACAGTAATGTCATTCCTCCCCCAAATATTATGGGGAAGCCTCATCACTTTTTATTTTATTTTATTTTTTATTTTTGGAGAGGTTTTCGCTATAGGGCGCATGTGCTCACCAGAAAGAGAGAGGCAGAGAGACAGAAAGCGAGAAATCACCCTACAGGGGGGATGGCCACACCACAATCCCTTCTCTTCCATTCTCCTTTTGGGATCCTGGGGACGCAAGCACATGTGCCCAGTGTGAGTTTTAAGCCACTGGGTCTGGGACTCAAACCGTGGTCGACTACGTGGGAGTCCAGCGACACAGCCATTACGCTGACTGCTGGTCCTGAGCCTCATCATTTCTGAAGAGACCTTGTCTCATTTTGTCCGTCATCCTGTTATAGCTCAGTTTAGTTCAGCAGTTCCTGTACTTTAGGTGGAATCAGAACCTCCTGGAGGATTGTTACAACGGAAGCTGGGCCTCACTCTAGAGCAGGGTATCAAGTGCCTCTTACTGGATAATATTTTGGATGGAGGTGCACAACCATTGGCCAGAAAGGAAACTTCATGGGGTGCTAGAAATATTCTTTTTCTTTTCTTTGGAAGATTTATTTATTTATTTCCATTTGCTGTTATTATTTTAAAATTTGACCAGAGAGAGACAGAGAAAAAGAAGGTAAAGGGAGAGAGCAAGCCGCCAGGTCTGGAATTCAAACTGCGGTCATCCATGTGGGAATCTAGCGCCTTTAACCACTGCGACACCCATCGGCCCTGTGAGAAATGTTCTATATTTTGATATTGCTCAAACCGTGGTCGACTACGTGGGAGTCCAGCGACACAGCCATTACGCTGACTGCTGGTCCTGAGCCTCATCATTTCTGAAGAGACCTTGTCTCATTTTGTCCGTCATCCTGTTATAGCTCAGTTTAGTTCAGCAGTTCCTGTACTTTAGGTGGAATCAGAACCTCCTGGAGGATTGTTACAACGGAAGCTGGGCCTCACTCTAGAGCAGGGTATCAAGTGCCTCTTACTGGATAATATTTTGGATGGAGGTGCACAACCATTGGCCAGAAAGGAAACTTCATGGGGTGCTAGAAATATTCTTTTTCTTTTCTTTGGAAGATTTATTTATTTATTTCCATTTGCTGTTATTATTTTAAAATTTGACCAGAGAGAGACAGAGAAAAAGAAGGTAAAGGGAGAGAGCAAGCCGCCAGGTCTGGAATTCAAACTGCGGTCATCCATGTGGGAATCTAGCGCCTTTAACCACTGCGACACCCATCGGCCCTGTGAGAAATGTTCTATATTTTGATATTGGTGGGGATTTCATGAATGAGTTCTTATTTACAAAAACATGGAGCCCACGTTTGGTGTTCTTTCTTTACTGTACATGTATAAGTACATGTACTGTATCTGTATCTCTCAATTTAAAAAATGTGTAGAGGGGTCAGCAGGTGACATAACACTGGATCCCACATGGCTGACTCTGTAGTTCAAATCCCAGACCTGGAGGCCTGCAAAACCTCTACCAGGCCCATGTGCGTGCATGCTCAAAATCCCGAGACAAAAATGGAAGAGGAGGGGGGCAGCAGAAGACATGGTGGACAAAGGGGGCGGCCAGCAGATGACATGGTGGTTAAGGGCGCTGAACTCCCACATGGTCAACGGTTCAAGTCCCAGACCTGGAGGCTTGGTTTCTCATTTTCATTCTCTTTCTCTCTCTCCCCACCCCCACTCTGTGTCTCTCTGGTTAAATTAAAATAAATAAATAAATGAGTAAGTAATGCACACACACAGTGAGAAAGGAAGTCACCAGGTCTGGGACTCAAACCCTGGTCGGCCACGTGGTGAATGTCCAGGGCCTTAACCACCATGCTACTTGCTGGCCCCCAATAAAATAATTCTTAAAAAAAAAAAGGAATAACAGAGAAGGGATTATGGCCTGACTATCCCCCACAGGTAATTTCCTTTTCCTCTCTCTGTCTCTCTGTCCTTTAGCACACAGATTCACCCTACGGCAAAAAATCTTAAAAAGAAAAAAGTAGAGATCAATTTCTAACAATACCCGATAGAAGATTATTACTTTGTTTTTCACTGTCAATTTTATTGCTAAAAAGATTGGCAAATTATCCAAATTTTATTTTATAAACAATGTTTGCTGTAACAAAACGCAATAGGTTATGAGTGTCTGGCAAGGCTGACATTCCTGACCCTGGTTTCTAGGTCCTTAGACCTCACAGCAGGTCCAGAGGTATTCATGCACTTGGGGCCCAAAGAAGACTCCGTCCCAAGTCTTTATCCAGGGGTAGAGTATGAGTGAGTCTATCAGAGACTGTTAAGAGAGATGACCATTCTGAAACCACTTGTGCTCTCTTCTAGAATTCCAGTTCATATTGGAACTATGGATCGCTGGAGATAGTTTGTGTTCAGTTTAGACTATCCTAGAAACTCCTATTTTCCTCAAACTTAAAATGAAGTTTGAGACCAATCTGTTCTTAAATTGTGTTAATTTATTCTAAACCAGGGGTCTCCAGACTACACAAATATTTTTTTCCAGATCTAATGGCATCCAATATGATGACATTTGGGTATAGAAGTCCTAACTGACTTATCTAGAAAATGTGTGAAATGTTCCATTAACTTCTATTCCCTGGGAAAATGCTCATGACGAACAATGCAGTTTTATAGGTCAGAGAATACCCTGATGTTATAAAAAAAGGCCTTCAAATATTATTTAAATATATTTTAAGAAAACTTTCCACACAAATGTCTTAGGTGAATAATGACGATATTCTGACTTGTCATCATCAATAAGATTTCTAATTCAAAAGGAAGTTTCATTGTCACTTCAATTCTTTTAAGTAGTCTAGAGTATCTCATAGATGTTTTATTCACTCCAAGCGTTCAACATTTTGAGAAGGTTGCAGAAGGAGTGTTAACTTCCAACTGAAGTTTTGCCTTTAAGTTTAGTCTTAAGTCCTTATCATTGCTGAACATCACTGCTTTTTGGGTAGATTAATCATATTTTGATCATAATATTGCTTTCTAGTCACAAGTTTCTTCAAAGACTCAGACCACCAGATGAAGAAGAAACTCCTTTGAATTTCTCTCTGGCTTTGAATTTCTATCTACTCTTTTAAAAATGTATAACTAGCTTATAAATATTTCATGCACTCTGCAACTCTTTACCTCGCAGGCTACAGTGTTGCCATAACTCTTATAAAGTGATGAAGTATTTTGGACTAAATGTTAGTGTCAGTCTTAAATGAAAGAAAAATACTTGTCAAGGTTTTGTTTATTTATCTCCAAATATAAAAAAAATGAAGCACACGTATTAAAATTCATGATTCTGCTGTTGCATATATGTATTTTATAATTGTATGAGCTTTCTTATGATTCTCAGGGTCTGCTCTATATTAAATGTTGATGAAAAAAATGAAGAGATTACTTCAATTGTTTCATATTAAATATGTCCAAAAGTATGTTTTGATACATAAAAAAATAAGTATACACAGTTATTTGAATAAATCATCAGTTATATTTAGAATATTATAAATTGATGAACTCTGTTTTCCTATTTATAAACAGATTAAAAGGTTTCCACTAATTACTCTAATTATCATTCTTCATACTAAGAATTTTCATTATACACTACAGTTTAATGTCTTGTTCTGATTACAGAACAAAAGCACATTATAATTTCATTTTCATATGTTTCACAAATGTTTTTAACCTGATTTTAACCCATTGCCTTAAAAATCAACTATATTCCTTGCCTTTCAATAACTTCTTTAAACTCACATAGCAGTAGTGATACTTCTATGGTTTTGGGGATTTGAGAAAAAAACTACCAGCTCTCTCTCTTCTAAAGTTCCTAATTAATCTGCTTACTTAAAATAGATATTTTGTTTGCTTTTGTAAATTTGTTGTCAAAGAAATTTTGCAGATTGCAAGATCTTTGTTTTGTGATAAAATATTTACTTCTAGTCCATAACATGTAAGATTTAACAACACCTGCCCTTTAAAAAAAAATAAATGGCTGCATCACATGCTTTGAGTGATAAAGGGAAAATTAAAAATTATAGAATTATACTTTAACACTTTTTAACTTATGATAGAAAAGTTTTCTTCAGATCCCTGTAAACTTGGAATATCACCTGTCCTTGTGTCTGACATTAAATATTCCAATGCTAAATTTTGCTGTGTAGCTTTTCTTATTAATTCACTACATTTATATTCATGATAACTAAAACACTGTTTATATCTAAACTTTTACATTCTATCAGATAGTGATTTTTTTTTTAGTTTAATGCAACATGCTCCTTAGAGTTAACATTTTTAAATTCCAATGTACAAAAGCAGTAAATGACAGCGTTTAAAGTAGCCATCTCACTGATTGTAACACAACTGTAGAATTTTAGTCATAAGATAAGGAAAAATTCATTAGGTGGCTGGTGGAGTCTTACCTTTCGAGGCCATGAAGACGTCTGAGCCACTTCTTCAAAGGCAGCCAGGTTAAAAGAAAAGGCTTTTCTTGTTGCAGCAAGGAAAGAAAACACAGCATGCATAAAACTTCAGAAGGTGTCTGTCTACCTCATGTCAGCTTACAAATAACGGAGGAAGGGAATGCCATGCTGTTTCTAGAGTGCTGGATTTTATCAGTTTGGACAACAGGGGGAGATGAAGCTATCACTGTGGGTAAACACTACTCAGAAACTATCATATAACCCAGTGGCAGAAGGAACAATTTAAAAATAATAAAAACTGGAAAGGAAAGCACACAACTCTCATTTTACGAGTCTTAGTTCCACGACTGTCTTTTTTTTTATATTTTTTTTATTTCTTGGAATACACACTTTGGCATTCTCTCTTACATCAGACATGTCCTATTTTTTGGAAGTCTCCTGTGCTAGAAGCTGAGATAAAACATCCTATCATGTGTTAAGTTTTTTGACATGTTCTAAATACATGTTGACAATGTTTGAACATTATTATTCTCATTCTCCTTCCGAATTTTCTCTCCACCACCCACCTACAAAACAAGTCAGAAGAAGTATTATGTATTATTTAGATACATATGTAAATCTTCTTTTTCATTTAAAATTTAATTTGAGTAATTAGGGACATTGGAAAATAGTATCTTTATGAAGTTTGCAAAGCTACTCAAAACATACAGGTGATATTTAACTGCATTATAGCCTTCATATAAAAAAGGTACTAGAACCTTGAGAAGACAGCTCATATTTCTAAATGCAGTTGCCCCACTGACCATGGAAACTTTGCTCACCACGTCAATTGCCCTGGATGGCATGATTTGCAAAGGTTGAACTTGCAAGATATAGTGCATTGTCAGCAACACAGCCTCCTTCTAAAAAATAATTGCATGGCTTCGGAAGGTATAGATAAGGATGAAAAACTATAAAGTCATTCTCACAGGTTTGACAAAAGTTTAGAAATTTTTTTATTTGCCAAAGAGAAATTTTTTTCTTTGTTTTAAATGTTTAAGATGGAAAAGAGCTGCCATTATTTAAGTTGTTATTTAGAGAAAAGATGTACTAATATGATGTTTCTTAAAATTAAATTATGTTTCCTCAGGACCAGCAGGTGGTGTGGTGGTGAAGTTGTTGGAGTCACACACGATCGACTATGGTTCGAGTCCCAGACCCAGTGGTTTAAAAAAAAAATAACACCGGCAAGTGTGTGTGCATACCCAGGATCTCAAGAGGAGATCAAAGGAGAAGGTATTGCACCGTGGTCATCTCCGTGAGGGGTGATTAGTCACTTTCCAACTCTCTCTGTTTCACCCTGTTAAGAGCACATGATCTATGGCAAAAACGTAAAAAAAAAAAAATTAAGTTTCCTAACTTTCATATTTATCATGGACATTTAAAAAAAACTAAGGAACTAAGTAACACTATTAAAGAAAGTATTTTAAACTGTGGTTATAACTGACCAGATAATTTTGACTATTCTATGGAACACCAGTTTTGAAGTAAAAATAAACATCTAAGTGAATTAAACATATTTAACAAATGCAATGCCAGCCACTTGTGTATTTTTTAAAAAATAATTATTTATTTAATTTTATTTATTCATTCATTTTATTTTTTAATTTGACCAGAGAGACAGAGAGGGAGAGAGAGAGAGAGAGAGAGAGAGAGAGAGAGAAAGAGAGAGAGAGAGAGAACGTGAGAAAGCAAGCCACCAGCTCCGAGACTTGAACCATGGTCGGCCATGTGGGAGTCTAGCGCCCTTATCCACCATGCCACCTGCCGGCCCCCACTTGTGTATTTTGACACAGCCATGTGACTGACTGATGAGGACTTCAGCATTGAATCTGCAGTAGAGACTTTGCAGGCTAGCTAACCAATAAGGACCCCCTTACTGGAACTCTGAATTTCGAGTGTCTGAATATCGTGTGTTCACTCCTCTAGGTATTGTTGCTCCACAAGTGGACCTCCTCTTATCTGTGGTCCTATTGTTACCATCACTCAGTGTCACCTTAACAGTTCCCAGTGCTCTTCTCCTTACCCTAGCAACCCCCACAGAAGAACCATAAGCACTATTTACCACGCAGGATAGTTACACCATCTTCTTAGGTCTGTGCAGCAAATCCCTTTTTCAAGGGGTCTCAATTTCACTTTCCACCAGGCTGCAGTTTTTCTAGTCCCTTCCCTTGATTCCATGACATAGAGCCAGTATAAGGTGGGCATGTCTAATGGACATAATTCAAAGCTTGGAGATCACAGAGAAGGATTGCAGCCAAAAAGAAAAAGGAATTGAAAAAAATGAATATCAGAGAGCTTAAGGTCAATGGTCCAGGAAACCCTCCAATGGCCATCTCCCTCCCTTGAGCCTCTGGTTTGTAACTGCTAGGTGGGCTTGTTTGTCAACTGAGGACACTTTGTCTTCACTGTCCTTGTCTCTCCTGAAAGAAGAGACTCGTATGTCCTCCTGTCTTTGGTTCCAGCTAAAAGGAAATGGGAAAAACCACACCATAATATCTGCAGAGTTATCTTCTGCCTGTGGCCTTTTTTTTCTTTTTTGTTTTTCTTCTTTTTTCTTTCTTTTTTTTTTGGGGGGGGGGGGTATAGAATGAGTTGTCCTACTCGC